AATCTTCAGTCTTGTGAGGACGATAGGAGCGTCACAATGGGTTTGATGGCTCCTACGGTCCTTATCCGAATAGAACACCCGGTCATTAATAATAGCTGTATTTCGTGCAACTTCCAGTCTAGATACACAGCGATATTGACCAGGCGTTCTATTCGGATGAAGACGATAGCTGCTTTCTATTGGTGGGGAGATGCACCTGGTCCTGCTTGAGACCGGATTCCAGAAGGACCCGTTGGTTTCCAGCACGTGTCACTGTCTCCGCCAATAGAACGGAGCGGCCTCCGAACATTGCACCTGGCCAGGAGCACAGACCAGATACCGACGGCGGACCCTTCGGGCATCGGACTGCACATAATTACAACAGTTTCAAGCAAGAGGGAAAAAAAAAAGAAAAAGTCCTTCGGGACATCCGTTGCTGGCCCCTGCGCACTCAAGGACGACACGCATAAATCGAGAAAYGGTCCAAATTTTTCCCAAAAAAAAAAAAAAGAAAAAGAAAAAAAAAATGGTCCAAAAAAAAAAAACGAGTGTGAAAAGCGCAGAAAAAAAGCAAGAAAAAGAAAAGCGCGGATCTTTCAGGGGCGAGGTCCCACTAGAAAAGAGGATTGAATTGGACGCCTGAATCTAGACGTGTTCGCGGAGAGGTGCAGAGAAACGTGACTGATCTGCTCTTCTGCACCTCTGCATCAAACACGTCCCGATTCAGGCGCTTCATCCAATCCTCTTTGCTCGGTGTCTGCCTGCGCCCATACCCGCTGCAAACCACATACGATGTACCTACCCAGCCGCAGCAATCGCTGACCAAAAAGAAACAAAGAGGAAAATAACAGAAGAAAAAAACTCTCCCCGTCCTCATCATGAAGTGCTTCCCATCCTCCGAAGAGGGGTGGGAAGAGAAATCACAGAAACTTCTTTGAAACTTCTTTGAAACTTCTTTGAAGACTCTTTGACCATCATCACTTCTTTGAAGCTTCTTCGCAGCTGTCTCCCTTTGCAACGCCTTCCTCTAGATGACCATCATCACTTCTTTGAGACTTCTTTGAAACTTCTTTGAAGGCTCCATCACCCTCACTATCACCATCACCCTTGCTATTACCATCGCCATCTCTGCGCACCACATTGCTGTGACCATCACCACTTCTTTGAAACCTCTTTGAAACTTCTTTGAAGGCTCCATCACCCTCCCTATCACCATCACCATCTCTGCGCACCACATTGCTGTGATCATCACCACTTGTTTGAAACTTTTTTGAAACTTCTTTGAACCTTCTTTGAAACTTCTTTGAAGGCTCCATCACCCTCGCTATCACCATCACCATCTCTGGGCACCACATTGTTGTGACCATCACCACTTCTTTGGAACTTCTTTGAAACTTCTTTGAAACTTCTTTGAAACTTCTTTGAAACTTCTTTGAACTTCTTTGAAGGCTCCATCACCCTCGCTATCACCATCACCATCTCTGGGCAACACATTGCTGTGACCATCACCACTTCTTTGAAACTTCTTTGAAACTTCTTTGAAGGCTCCATCACCATCTCTGCGCATGACATTGCTGTGGCGGGCAAGGCTCTCTTACCAATGCGGGGACGAAGTCCCACTCGCAAAGAGGATTGGAATAAGTGTCTGAATCTGGATGTGTTTTATGGAGAGATGCTGAAAACATATTTTTTTCTACCAATTAATCAACCCCTTGCACGTGGTCTGGTGGGCATATCCCGCCCGGATCCAGACCGATCTCTGCATGGCCCATCATCCTTTATTGGGATCCGGATGCCATGCCGCCGTCGTGTCTCTGGATGGATGGTTATCCTAATGTCTGGATCCCGTCCCGACGTCTGCCGAGATGGTATCGGGATCCAGCCCTCCCGTAATCATATGCTTTAGAAAAGAAAAGAAAAGAAAAAGAGTCCTCCGGCGGGCTCTTTTTTTTTTTTTTTTTGGGTACCCCCATGAACTGAAAAGAGAAAAAAAGAATGGAGGGGGCGGCGGCGCTTCAGCGCTAGCTCTGGTGCGTTAGCACTCGGACCTAACGCTGCTTGCCGGTTCGGCAGGCCTGGCCAGCGATATTGGTTCCGCCGAGGAACTTGAGTCGTAGGTGACACCTCACGGTCAATCGTCTTCACGAAGACCTATGGCTTGGCCATAGCTGATGGTGTCAGTGACCAGATCTTGCCGTCGCCCTCATACGTTGAAGAATCGAAGTGCTGTTTTGAGCTGTTGATTTGAAGATAGTGAAGGAGGGCGAAGTTATTAGCCCGAAGAAACGAAGGGAGAGAGGAAGTAACACAGATTGAAGATGGAAGCAGAACCGCCCCCCCCACCACAGGGGATAGGCGATGCCAGGGCTCAAGTCCCAACGGACTATAGACTGGAGGAAGAGAGAATAACAGAGATGGTACGAGCATGTTACGAGGAGGGCATCATTCCAGCGGAGATTGATGGCGGCATAATGGAGGTTTCAGGAAGGGAAGTAAAATTTGTTCTAAACAACACGGTGGATGAAATGAAGGTAAAGTGGCTGAAACAGAGGACAGTGACTGTTATTTTTAGAGACGGTGCTCGTTTCTTACCGAAGAGAGTTAAAGAGGACGTCATTCGTGCCTATGAAGATGGCTGGATAAGGGACGATACATTCGGAGCGGATTTCAAGAGGCAGAATAAAGGTGGAGAGCCCGAATGTAGTTTCCTACGTCCCAAGGACGCAGGAAATCACAGACTGGATGTTGACCAAGAGATCCGACTTCATTGACCTCGCGAACACCACGTACCGAACAGAGTTCAAGCCGTG